GAACACACTCACAAAGTAAACTGAGCAACCTACAGGAGCAAGCAGTGGAAGAGAGCAAGAAGCAGAAAAGCATCGGTGCTGTTGTGCTTGCAGAGTGCCAAAGTATCTGTGACAGGCAGGGACGGGAAAGCAACCAAGAGCTCGCACCCTTAATTCACAGCCAGCCGCCACATCCCCACTGACAATGCAACTAACTCAAATGGAGTCATGCTGGCAGAGCAATCCACATCACTAAGCAAATATCTTCTTCTTTTTCACTAACCAACCTCATGAACTGCATTTGCAGAAAAATCACATTTTCTTTTCACTTGTCCACCAGATTTTTTAAATCAGGTAAAATCCCAAGCTTTGTACTCAGCATGTTGCTAAGGCCTAGGGAAGTGCTGGCATAGTCAAAAGGTATCTGTTCCCTTCCCATAGCCCTGCCAATTCGGTCACTTGGGTTAGCAGAAGAGCTTGCCTCTCTTCCTCCAACACTTGTCAATTGAGGGGCTGCTGGTGCATATATCCTGGAAACCGTTGCAAGCGAAAGTTGCAGTCAGAAAATGACCAAAGTGCCTGAAAGAATAAATCACCGAGGCCTGAAATAATATTGTTCAGGAGGAGTTACCAAAGAATCATGACTGGTTTGGGTCGGAACAGACCTTAAAGCTCATCCAGTTCCAGCCCCTGCCATGGGCAGAGACACCTTCCACTAGAGCAGGTCGCTCCAAGCGCTGTCCAACCTGGCCTTGAACAGTGCCAGCAATGGGGCAGCCACAGCTTCTCTGGGCAACCTGTGCCAGTGTCTCACCACCCTCACAGTAAAGAATTTCTTCCTTATATCTAATCTAAACCTACCCTTTTTCAGTTAAAGCCATTACCCCTTGTCTTATCACTACTTGCTCTTATAAAAAGTTCTTGTTGGGAAGGTTATAGCTTCAGTAATTGAGCTCAAAAGGCAGGCAACAGATTTTCTCAAGTACTTTTCCTTTGCAGGCTCATAAGCAGCTTGTCTTTTCCTTATTCACTGGAAAGCCAGCCACTTAAGTTTAGTTTCATCCTCTGTGCTGCACAACCAGCGGCCCTTAATCAAACATCTCCACCAAAGTTAGCTAGAGATTAATTCACCATTGCCAAAATACTTGTCAAACTGCCATCTGATCTAAAGCAACCAACAATCTTGCAGTATAGCTGTGGAGTGCAGTCACATGGAAGCAGATGCTGCTGAGCAAGAGAAGGCAGGGAGGTACTGCAAGCGATGAAGCCATATACTGACACAGACTGTCAGCATACAGAGGTTACTTAGTGCACAGGTAGTTATATATTTCTACAAATGCCACTTTTCACTTTTCAGTAGTTATTCTACCCTTATTCACTTGAGTTACAGCAATGCCTCATTTGTTCCCTGATTGGGTCACTCTGCTGGACACTGTATGAATAAATATTAAGTGACAGTCACTATGTTCAGTGTATAATTGCAAGCAATGCGTAAATATAATAAAGCAACAGCAGAGAGCACAGGCCAATGAAATAGCTGCCAAGAAGACACAGTGTGAAAATGTTCTGGGCTGGAGGATCCAGGCACCACACTGGGAAAGCAGGTAGGCTTTGGTAGCCCTGGGGAAGATTAGCCCATCACATTCCTTGCATCAAGGCCAAACCTGGCTGTGCTACTGAGAGGGATAAAAATAATACGATATCCCACCAGGCTGGCTGCACTCCCAGCTTCAACCCTGTGGGAATCTGGTGCTGACAGGTAAACCCACCTGTTTATGCTGTGCATTTCTACTGCCACTCATCTACTTTATGGATGTCTGAACTTCAAAAGTTGTCCGTTTCTGGAGAAACATCTAGACCAGAACAGGAAGATAAGAAGGACCAGGGAAATGGGAAGAAGCAGCAAAACCAGAAGAGACTACTGGTAAGGAAGGGAAGAGAGTACAGCTTCCAAGGCAGCTTACCTTGGAGTTAGCTCACATTTTCTGGAGTAGTTTTACATTTTGGATGGGTGGCCTACTGCTTTCCTTGGTCAGTAGTTTTGTGGACAAATACTCAAATATGTAGGTAGTGGTATCTGTGAGAAAGTGCATTGACAAATACGGCGGCTTGGCTTAGGAAGATGCCAAAATACTGAATACTGAGAATGTAGCACCAGACAAATCACTCTGAAAACTCTGTCTTTCATTCCTCAAAGATGTGGTGTTAATTCTGCAAGCAAAAGGTTTTCTGAGGCATATGAAAACAACAAAAGTTGTTATTTCCTTTGTTTTAACAAGCTGTCTGGTTGTGGTTAAACCTCGACAGTTCTTTTTGGCGCCCAACATGGGGCACGAGGGGTTGAGATAATGACAGATCTGACCGGAAACAGTCACTCATCACAATGCTGATTTATTGGCTCTCAGAGTTGTTCCTCTTGATCTCACAGTTTCAGAATGTAGTACCTTACTTAGACCCGGTATTTGCTGTGTTAGTGTTTATCAAGTGTGGGGCTTGGGCTAAGGTTCCTGTCTCACTGCACTTTATGGCAACGACTTGTAATACGGGCGGGCTCCAGCAGCAGGGCGGGACGGACGTGGCCATGGACTGGTACCTGGCCGTCCGGCTGCTCTTCACCGTCCTGGCCCTCGCCCTCGCCTCCGTCTGCGTGAGGCCACGGGGAGTCGAGGGGGAACAGCCCCGGGAGCCGGCGGCTGCTGAAGCGGCCCGGGAGAGCGGCCCCGGGGACCAAGCGGGAGTGGGACCGTAGGCCGCAAGGGGACGGCTGCCAGTGGAGGAGGTCGGGGCGGTCGAGGAGCGGGAGGAGGCGGCGAAGGAGCCTCGCCTCGCAGAGGAGCCGAGCCCCGCGGCCAAGCTCAGCCCCGCAGCCGAGCTCAGCCCCGCGGCGGCCTAGAGGATTCCCCGGAAGCCGCCCGCCGAGCCCCAGGAGGATGCAGGAAACCCCTCAGCATTTCCCAGCAAGGCAGAGGAGGAAGAGCTGGACTCAGAGAAGCTGGTGGTGAGAGAGCCGGCAAGCACAGCAGCTACACCAGCCCCAGTGACAAGTACAGCAACATCGTTTGAGAGTTCTGAAGGTTTTGGATGGCCTTTGGGTATCCTTGGGACCTGCCTGCTGATTGTGATGGGGATCAGCATCTTGGCACACATACAGACTGTGTTTTACCCACCACCACTTTGTCCGATCCTGAAATTTAAGCTGAGTAGGGTTTGGGTCCTGTCTGGGGTTAGACGACGATATGGGAGGACCAAGAGGTTTTCCCCAAGGCTGGAGAGTCATGAGTGGCAGGGTGTGTGGGACAGCATGAGCAAATATCTAGTCCACTGGGCCCCTCCAGTGCTTTGGAAGCATTGGAGATGGAAGGCAGCTGTATGGAGTCCCCAGCTACAAGCTGCAGAAACTGCTGAATGGGACGGTGAATTATTTTGAGCCTGATGGGCCCATGACCCTTGAGGCCATCAGAGCAGAGATGCAACATCGAGATGGACTCATGGTCAAGGGGTGGACTTAGCAATGGACACTATTGCCCAGGTTATTCATGTGTGTGAACACTGCACACAGCCTCTTCTGCTCTGAAAGACTGTTACAAGAGATGGAGCCTGACATCATGGACCAGATGGACTCAGCAGCTTTATAGGGACTGGTCCATGCACTACGGTAAGAGTGCACTTAGATAAGAGTGATGGTATATTGAAAATGTGGGATCTGAGCATGACTTGAATGGTACGGAATAAGGGGTGGATAATGTCCTAGGTTTAGCAGCAGCAGTCATTTTTCTCTTTCTTGGTAGCTGGTGCAGTGCTGTGTTTTGACTTTCGGACTGGGAACAGAGCTGATGATATGTTTTGGTTTGGCCAAGGACTTTGTGAGCCTCATGCTCTGCCAGAGAGGAAGGGAATCCGGGAGGAAGCAGAGACAGGACACCTGAACCAAACTAAAAAAGATGTATTCTATAATGCAGCACGTCATGCCCAGCAGGTAACTGGGAGCCAGAAGGGCAGAGGGATGGCAGGGTTGGAAAAGGTATCGGTTGGTGCTTGGTCAGGCTGGGGGGCGAGTTATCGGTTGCCTGGTCATGAGGTGTTCTATTCTATCCCTTCTTATTTCCTTTGTTTTAACAAGCTGTCTGGTTGGGGTTAAACCTCGACAAGGCAAAACGTTGGTGCTGCACTCAATGTGTTCCTCGCACAACAGAGTGACAACCAGAGTGGTTAGATTAAAAGGGCTTTATGGATGTGAAATCGAAGACAGACTGCAGTGTAAGTTCAAGTGGACTTTTAGTTATGAAAGTGAGGAGCAACTGCAATGATGGTGACACCGTTGAAAAGCTCACTGTGTGGTGAAGATTCCCAGCAGCAGATTTAACTCCTGGCTCTTTGGCTGTGGGAACAGAGGGCAAACGTTTGTGCTGCCCACACTGTGCTGCCTGACAGACCAGAGTGACTGCCGGAGTGGTTGGATTCAAATGGGGTTTTAGGTATGATATCGAGGACAGATTGCAATGTATGTGCTAACGCTGCAATGCTATGTGCTTGGTATGCCCAGAACCAGCTTTCCCTCCTGGCTCTTTAGCTGTGGGAGCAGAGCTCAGACGTTCGTGCTTCACTCACTCTGCTGCTTGGCAGCTGAGAGCAAGCTCCGGAGAGGTGCGATTCAAGTGGACTTTCAGGAATGAAAGTGAGGAACTAGATGATCTTAAGGTCCTTTCCAGCCTTCACTGATCTATGGTTGTATGATTCTATGAAGCTCAAAGGAAGAGCAGGTGTCCAGTTGAATATTGGTGTCTTTGAGCATCTGCTTTCATCCAGATGCCTGCAGGAGGAACTCATCCCTTCATTTTTCAGGTGGGGGCAGCTTTGCATCTTTTTCCTTGCTGGATTCTCCCTTGCCTTTCACAAAGAGCATTGCTTAAGGCTGTGAACGGAGAGCGGCTTCTGCTCTCTCTGCAGAACTCCTCTATGCTGGCCAAGCTGGACCTTTGATGCCACCATCCCCTCACCCAGACTTCTCAGAGGACACTCACCTCTTGCTGGTGATCCCCACATATTGATAGACAGTGACAGGATGTTTGAAGCCTTTTATCTTTCTCTCCGGCAGCTCCTTGAAGTAGCAAGAGGGCAGCCCAGAGCTGGCATAGGTTGAGGTATCACAGGTCACCAGCCCAGAGTAGCTCACCATCATCCGGGCTGCCAAGTTCACCTTCTGGCCAATGACTACCAGAAAGATGAAGAAAGAGCACACAGTCATGTACCTGTGCCACCAGCTCCACAGTGCCCTTCCAGACCAACGGCTGCCCCACCTCTGACACCCGCAGCCTCACAGTGGGTTAAGCAGATCCCAGGGGAACAACCAACTGCGGAACCCAGTGTCTCACCCCAGCCCAGGACTGCTGCTGCATGGGCCATTCCTGGCTGGCTGTTGGCCAAGCACTCTCCCAGCCTGTCTTCCTCTTCCCAACAGCTCACTCCAGTTTCCCACACTGCACACACATGTACCTGTGTAGTCGTGCCTCAGAGGGTGGCCAATGACGCCACAGAACGCCATCCCACTGGTAACAGACACAGACACTGTCCTGGCACACAGGGAAACAAAACAGCTTCAGCAGCCCTCCAGGTGCAGTCCTGCCCACCCAGCTTCATCTCTTCCCACATCTCCCCTCAGCACTAGCCTGGGCCACTGGCCATCCTGCCCTGCCAGCCTGGGGTTCAGGGTAAAGAGAGCTCAGGGCTGTAAAGGACCCAGGCGACAAGGACAAGGAGCACAAGAGCACAGGCAGGAACTTTTGGGCACTTCTGAGACCATATTCCCTGAGCTGTGACCTGTGACCAGTGGGAAAAGAGGGAGGGAAGAAGGTGCCACAATGTCACTGCCTGTGATGACAGCAGTGTAAGATCAGGTGTCTAGGCCCCATGACTGTTCACAGGCCAGTCACCCAGAAGGTGATGCTTCTGGCACCAAGGAGCCTCTCGCCTTCACCGGGGCTCATTCCAGCATGGTGACTAGCAGGGTGTGCTTGGAGACACTCTGCCTGGCTGCCCAGGGATAAGCCCAGAGGTTACCTGCCACCTCTCAGGGCACTGTTTCCTTCCTGCCAAGGAAGGGAGGGCAAGGGTGGGTAAGGTAGACGCAACACGCTTCCTCTGCTTTACGCTGGCCCAGACAGCACGCACTCCCTCAGCCCCACCAGACACTCACCCTGTTTTTGCAATGATCTTGGAGCACGACTTGAAGATCTGAAAAGCACTCTGCAAGGCATGAATGCTCTCATGGGGCAGCTTTACTCCAGGGAGTCCAAACACACAGAGGAATGTGCAGCCCTGCCACGGACAGATGCAGCACATCTTGCCACAATGCCTAGGAAAGAATCTTCTCCTCTTGCTCAGTGTCCACCCTCTTGGGTTTTGGGGAGATGATTCCACCCTACACTCACTTTGTCAAACAGGAAGACTTTGTTCACTTCACCCTTGTGAGGACAGATGATTTCCTGCACCAGGCTGCTGACTTCATTGAGGACACTGCGAAAAGATACTATGTCCTTTGTTTCAAAATTCAGGTGGAGGAAGAGGATGGTGACTGGCCGTAGCTCACAGAGGAAGTCCCGCGGCACTCTGTCTTCAAGCTGGAAGACAAGAGCATGACAGGTTCACAAGCCTGCTCTCCTGGGGGCTGCCCACACCAGGTACAAAGGGAGAGCTGGTGTCCTCGCAATAGCAGGTACTAGCGAGGGAAGAGAAGATCCTCCTCTTGAATTAAATGGTCAGCAGGCTGCCCAGCCTGCAGCAGTCAGATACCAAATCAGAACACAAATGACAAAGGTGAGAAGGGCGCTCCAGTAACACCCCATCTTGGGACAGTTATGGACATGAGTGGTGACACTCAGCGACGCTGTAGGGGCTTCAGTGGAATCTCCCCTCTATACTGCCATCACGTCCACAGAACATGAAGAGCCATACCCACGGAAAAGATAGAGATGCAAATGTCTGCCCCACCACCCGTCTCTCTGAGGACAACTCATACAGTGGTGCAGCACCCATGCCCCTTGGCCCAATTTGCCCACATTGTCATCTCGGGATGCATTTTCTTTCTTTTGCTTGCTCTCATGGAAACTCCGTCTCTGAATGCACCACTTCTGCCCTGCAAAAAAAGCAGCCCCAGCAGCAATGGCCCAGACGCACCTTCCTGAGAACACCTTTTGGTATGTAACTAAGTATTTCTCCCACATCAGTATCAGGGTTCAAGAAAAGAGTGGGCCTGACAGCACCTGTGGAGAGGAAACACACATGGTTGCTGGGAGGACGGGACTGAGCTGTTGAAAAGCTGGGGCTAGCACTGGCAACAGGGGAGAGACTCCTGCGTTTGCTTGTGTTGCCACCTGCAGGTGCTTAGGGCAAAGCTGTCCCCTGGAAGGAGACGGCAGCAGCAGCAACTGCCCCAGCTGATGCACAAGAGGGCCAAAAGCATGAATGCTGAGAGGGGAAGAGGGGAGCAGTAGTTCATCCCTGAGCCCTGCAGCAGCCAGGCCCCATGTTTCCAAGCAAAACCAAACCAAGGTGAATCTGGCACTCACATTCGTTTTCCGTGAAGAAGCACTTCTCCTTCTCTGGAAGCTTGTCTAAAACATCTTGGCATTCCGACCAAGACATCTGCTTCATGCCTGTAACCTGAAGGTACACAGAAAGAAAGCACCAACACTGGATTCTCCAGGAGTCCCAGGAGTCCCAGGGGACAGATCCTGCCCTCTACTGTCACTGCCCAGAAAAGGGGAGAAGTCTATCTGGCTGGACAGGACAGCAGTGCTTCCTCAGAAACACGGGAGCTGCGCAGACATCTTCCAAGCATCCCCCAGCTGTCAAGAGCTGCGTGACCCACAGAGGACACTACTGGTGGGGCCAAAACTCTTTCAGTGCCTCCTGACCTCTCAAATCCAGCAAGCCCAGCCCAGAGTTACTCCTAACATGGAAGGACAAGAGCATCAGCTGCTCTCCACTTTCACTGCTACAACTCTCTCCACATTCAGCTCTTCAGCCTTCTGACACCTCCCCCCTTCAGGTCTAGGTCCTCAGAATGGCTCTAGATGCTGTTCCATCCACCTACCTTCACAGCTGTTTTGCCAGCAATATGGCTGGTCCTGAGCCTGTGCTTCTCACATAGCTCCCAGCAGGAAGGTGAGAGGAGAATTTCACCTGCTTTTGCAAGCTTTCCCACTTCACAGACATCCTCCAAGGCCTTGCCAATGACACAGAAGTACTGCTGCCTCTCGTCTCCAAACTTCAGATGGTGCATATTCCCTGCAGAGATCCCTGGGAGAGAGAGAGGGAGAAGCAGAGCTCTACAGCCCCCAGCATTTCAGCTGTTCAGAAGCCAATCTGAACCTCAGTGGGGAGATGGTCATTATGGAGGGGGAGGGCAGCCTCCATCTTTCTCGAGGGGATACTGACACAGGACCCTTAAATGGATGTTAAGAAATAGACAAACCAAGTGGACAGTGGCACTGTCTTGAGAGTGCTGGATGTCTTACCTGCCCCAGAAACCCAGCAAACCAAGCCCCTGCTCAACGCCCACCCCCTTTACATGCAGGCGGGTTGTAGCTGTCTGCTCAAGAAAAACTACAGCCAGCAAAAGCCCTTTTCACAGCCTTAAGCAATGCTCTTTGTGAAAGGCAAGGGAGAATCCAGCAAGGAAAAAGATGCAAAGCTGCCCCCACCTGAAAAATGAAGGGATGAGTTCCTCCTGCAGGCATCTGGATGAAAGCAGATGCTCAAAGACACCAATATTCAACTGGACACCTGCTCTTCCTTTGAGCTTCATAGAATCATACAACCATAGATCAGTGAAGGCTGGAAAGGACCTTAAGATCATCTAGTTCCAACTCCACTGCCATGGGCAGGGACATCTCACACTAGACCATGTCACCCAAGACTCTGTCCAACCTGGCATTGAACATCGCCAGGGATGGAGCATTCACAACTTCCTTGGGCATCCCATTCCAGTGCCTCTCCACCCTCACAGTAAAGAACTTCCTCCTTATATCTAACCTGAACTTTCCCTGTTTAAGTTTGAACCCATTACACCTTGTCCTATGACTACGGTTCCTAGTGAAGAGTCTCTCTCCAGCATCTTTGCAGGCCCCCTTCAGATACTGGAAGGTTGCTATGAGGTCTCCTTGCAGCCTTCTCCAGGCTGAACAGCCCCAACTTTCTTGGCCTGTCTTCATATGGGAGGTGCTCCAGTCCCCCTGATCATCGTTGTGGCCCTCCTGTGGACTTGCTCCAACAGCTCCATGGCCTTCTTATGTTGAGGACACCAGTACTGTACACAATACTCCAAGTGATGTCTCATGAGAGCAGAGTAGAAGGGCAGGATCCCCTCCTTTGACCTACTGGTCACACTCCTTTTGATGCAGCCCAGGATAGGGTTGGCTTTCTAGGCTGTGAGTGCACACTGAAGCCTGCTCATGTTAAGTTTCTTATCAACCAACACCCCCAAGTCCTTCTCTGCAGGGCTGCTCTGAATCTCTGACCAACCTGTAGCTGTGCCTGGGATTGCTCCGACCCAGGTGTAGGACCTTGCACTTAGCATGGTTAAACTTCATAAGGTTGGCATCAGCCAACCTCACAAGCATGTCAGGGTCCCTCTGGATGGCATTCCTTCCCTCCAGTGTGTCAACGGAACCACACAGCTTGGTGTCATCGGCAAAATTGTTGGGGGTGCACTCAGTCCCACTATCCATGTCACCGACAAAGATGTTGAACAGGATCAGTCCCAACACCAATCCCTGAGGGACACCACTCCTTACTGATCTGGACATTGAGCCGTTGACCACAACTCTTTGCATGCACCCATCCAGCCAGTTCTTTATCCACAGAGTGGTCCACCTATCAAATTGATGTCTCTCCAATTTAGAGACAAGGATGTCGTGTGGGACAGTGTTGAATGCTTTACACAAGTCCAGGAAGAGGACATCAACTGCTCTACCCCTGTCCATCAGTTCCATAGGCTCATCATAGAAGGCCACCAAATTGGTCAGGCAGGATTTCCCCTTAGTGAAGCCATGCTGGCTGTCACCAAGCACCTTGTTGTTTTTCATGTGCCTTAGCATGCCTGCCAGGAGAATCTGCTCCAAGATTTTGCCTATGTGCTGTTTACCATTAATTGCAAGGTTACTATTTTGTACCCTATTGGTAAGAATGAGTCTGTTCTAAGCTTACTGCTGCTGTACATGTATTATCAAATTTATTCTCACCATTAGTGTGCAGGTGAGATAACAAGTTCAAACAGGAAACAAGAAATGGCACAACACCTACAGTTTCTCATATGCTTGTCTAAAATAACAAGAAATCTGGGCAAGAATTACTATTAGAAGCAAAGAAATGCATACTTAAGATCTTTTAAGGTTTTCCAGATGGAAGCAATGGCCTTTATTAAATGCCATTGAGAAACTGGTTGATGCAAGTACTGTCCTACTTACAATTTTCAACATGAATAAGTTCTGCTTGGAAATTACATTACATATTTCCACATCACTCAGCAGTACATAAGACTGTCTAAAAATAAAGACAGACCTAAATAAATCATTTTAAGAAAAACAACAAAGCACAAGCAAAGTCTGAGCATTTAATTACCTGGAAATTAAAAAGAAATAGCAAACTCAGTTGAAGAGAGAATGAAAAGCAAGATGTGAGCCTGACAGAAAGGAGAAATACAGGAGATACAGTAAAGCCCCAAACACAAGCAATTACATTATATATATGTGAAAAAAAAAGGGAGTGAACAACAGAAAACAGAAATATAAAAAAGGTAAGGGAAATGTCCAGCTAGCAAGGAGAGGCACACTGTTTGCATTATTATGGTGAATGTGTAGATCCATTTCTTAAAAGCTGCTCTAAAATGAATTCTCAGTAAGACTGTCTTGAAACAGCACATTAGTGTGATGAGAAGTAACAAATTTCAAAGCGCAGGTATTTCAACTCCACATTTTTAGTGAAAAACATGGCATTTTCAAGCATACTAGCTTAGAAGGTTTATGTCTAATGACACTATGAAGTGACACTGATGGATGACTGAAGAAATAATGAAGGAAACGCTGAGCTGTAAAACTAAGTCACCAAGCATGACAAAGTTACCACGATGACTAGCATTCTGGATACCACAAGGGATGCTGACTGGAATGCCCGGACCCATTTTGTGCCTGTGGATAATGTGCATGTCACTCTACAAATGAGGAGAATTTCAGATTTAAGCTTTTAAGTTTTGTTCAAAACTACATATGCTGTGGCTTAGGCAGTCAGCGGGGAATGAAAAGCAGCCAGTGGGATGGTGGCCGGCATGAGGAGACTTAGTGCTGGGATGAGCTCTCCTTATCATTTGTTTTTCTCAGAGCAAAAGTCTCAATAGTGTTTGGATCCTTGATTTTCAGATACAAGTGCAGCTGGTGGAAGGGAAGAGCATATATAGGAGAAAGGACTGAAATACAAATACTGAGATTTGGGGGGTTTACGTTTGCTTTTACTTTTTTTCTTTTCACCTAATGACCCTGAAGTTAAAATTATAGAATCCCAGACTGGTTTGCATTAGAAGGGTCTTTAAAGCTCATCCAATTCCAATCCCTTGCCACAGGCAGGGACACCTTCCACTAGACCAGGTTGCTCCAAGCCCTGTCCAACCTGGCCTTGAGCACTGCCAGGGATGGGGTAGCCACAGCTTCTCTGAGTAACCTGTGCCAGTGATTGATGAAAGTGCTAAAAGGCGGCGTTATTTACCGGGTGAAGGCACTTATCACCGGCCGCAGTCGTGTGCGGATACACCCGGCCGGCTCCTCCCTCGCCCGTCCCGCTCCCTCATCCGCGCTGTCGCCCCACCGCGCCTCACGTCTCTGCTTCCCCCGCCGCAGACGGGTCTCACCCGCCTCCGCCCGGCCCTGTCACAACAGAAGAGGCGGCTTCACCTGCGCCGTCCCCTCGCAGGTCCCCCTCACGACTTCCCCTCCGCCGCTCTCCACCCGCGCGTGCCGCAGTGGGCCGGGCCCGGCGCTACCCCGCCCCACCGCGCTGAGGTGAGCTGCCGACTGCACCATGTCGGCGCTGGAGTGGTTTGCGCACAAGGACCTGGGCGGCGGCATCTTCTGGATCCAAGAGCGCTTCTACGAGTCGGGAAACCGGGCCAACATCTGGCTGGTGCGCGGCTCGCAGCGGGACGTGGTGATCGACGCAGGGCTGGGGCTACGCAGCCTTCCCGACTACCTGCGCGCCGCCGGGCTGCTGGCCCCTGCGGACGCGGCCGAACCGCGACCGCTGCTGGCCGTGGCCACGCACGTCCACTTCGACCATTCGGGCGGGCTGCAGCACTTCGAGGAGGTGGCGGTGCACAGCGCCGAAGCTGCGGCCCTGATGCACGGAGATAACTACGAGGCCGTCACCTGGCTGTCGGACCGGGAAGTGGCGCGGCCGCCGCGGCCCGGCTGGCGGGCTCGGCACTTCCGCGTCCCGCCCGTCCAGCCCAGCCGCCTGCTGCAGGAGGGTAAGCGGCGGTACCGCTGGGATCGCGGTCATCCGAGAGTGGAGTGGTGCGCAGTGTTTGTGAGTCGCGTGGCACAGCAGCAGCCCTCTTGCCGCTGCGCTCGTTCTGCTTTATGCGTTTCCTCGTGTCGCGTAGACTCGCATTGAGGTTTGGGTTGGAAGGGACCTTACAGCTCATCCAGTTCTAACCCCTTGCCATGGGCAGGTACACCTTTCAACCAGATGCGATGCTTAAACTGATGTTTTCTTCTTCGCGTACTGTCAGGCTCTGCAACCCTCTTTGCAGAATCTAAAAGCTATCAGAATTCCTCAACACGGAACAACAAAGCCTGCACGGAGGGGGTTATATTCTTAAATGATTTTTTACCACTTCTCAAAGTATTGATGGGAACTGACAAACAAGACACTGTTAAGCCTGGAGAAGGCTCTGAGGAGACCTCAGAGCAGCTGCAGTGCCTAAAGGGGCTACAGGAAACCTGGAGAGGGACTTTGGACAAGGGCCTGTAGGGACAGGACAAGGGGGAATGGCTTTAACCTGACAGAGAGGAGATTGAGATGCGCTGTTAGGCAGAAGTTCTTCTCTATGAGGGTGGTGAGGCCCTGGCACAGGTTGCCCAGAGAAACTGTGGCTGCCCCATCCCTGGCAGTGCTCAAGGCCAGGTTGGAAAGGGCTTGGAGCAACCTGGTCTAGTGGAAGGTGTCCCTGCCTGTGGCAGGGGGTTGGAACTGAGTGAGGTTTAAAGTGCCTTCGAGCCCAAACCATTCTGTGAAATACCCTGTGCATGCCTGATCTGTTTGCCCAGTGATGCAGCTATATTTTTCCTTAGGCTGAGAATCACTCAGGGGTAATTTAAGTGACTAACTGAGCAGTTTTCACCTTAGGCTTCTAACAGTATGTCACCATGTCAATCAGCTCTAGCATCTGGTGGCCCTTATTATTTATAAGCTGTCAAGGTGTAACAGTGTAAAGAGCAAAGCAATTTATTGAAAGAGGTATTTCAGAGAACAGGGGTTTTGTTTTACAGAATTTACATATATGTAGCTTTTACTGAAATGGCTTTTATAGATAGAAATCCATTTAGCCTCTTGCAGCAAACAATGACTAGGTTCTTTTAGCAACACCCCACCTAATAGTACAGTATGGTGAAGAAGGAGTTATAGGGTAACTATCTGACAGACAGGTGACACCTTTTGCAGGGGTCTCTCTGTCTTCTTGGTAAGTTAGGCCATCCTGCATAGATGCTTGGAAAACCAGAACTGAACTTCCTAAAGGCTTCAGAGATCTGGTATGAGATTTAACAGTGGTCAGTCAACAGAAGTTTAAGTGGTATTATTTTTAAAAGGGAGGAATTATTAAAAAGATAGTCTTATAAAGGATGAAGCAAACTAGCTGTCAAAGTAACATCAAGGTTTCTAAGACAACATTCACTGAGACAGGCTGTGTGGAAGTGATGTATCATAGTGCATGTGGAAGGCTGTAAGGCAAGGATATCCAGCAGTTCTGAAAATACAGAAGGTGACAGTACTCTGTTAACAGTCCAAAGCCACAGGGTTTTTTTTTTGTTGTTGTTGTTGGTTTTTTTGGGTTTTTTTTTTTTTTCTACATTGCCTGTCTCACTTGTTTAGGTTTTGCATTACCTTAACCTTACCAGATCTTTCACTGTAGCTATTCTAGCTAAAATTGCATTTATTTGTATTGTGCCTTACCATTTAGTGTTTTCCTAGCCACTTGCATCTTGTAAGGCTCAACAGCTTCCTTCAGCTGTCCCTTCAGACAGGTTCAGAATGTAAGAATTTTTCTTGAATTCTGTGCACATCTTTAACTTTTGGATGCCATATTCTGCTTCTTTGGATTTTATCAGTGCCAGGAGCAGTTTGAAACCCACCTCCTCCATTAACTTCACTGTGGTTTCCTTCACCAATACAGGCATTTTCAGCATAATCTTCTCAACGTCAGGTCTGTTTCTTTCTCCTGCCAAGGATGCCCAACATCTCTCTGAAAGAGAATTTGTCTAAAAATTCCCTTTTATAATTTTGAAACTAGCTGCTTGTACAAATGTGGAGATCTGTGACTGTGTTGGATACAGCATGGTCAGACGTTACCTCTCCAGTGACTTCTCAAAGCTGTTGTAGCATGTTCAGTACTCCTTTTAAATTGAACACCAAAAATCCTGTCACAAAAGGTATGACTTCCAGGAGTTAAGTACCTCTAGGCTTGGTGAATCATAAGGAAATCTCTGGCATGCCTGTCTCTGGTGTGAGGCAGATCAGTAACTCAGATATCTAGTAGCAGCAGAGGTCTGGTAACTTTCTTGGGCTCCTTGGCAACTGAAGTGCAGATTATCTTAAGCACTGTTTTATGATGGTACTGGATGTTATCTTTTAGAACTCTTTCATGTAGTTTGACAGCTGCTTTTGAGAAGGTTGCTTATATGTTGGTCTTCCTTCCCTATGCAGTACTAAAGCTTATGTATTTGCCACTTCTTAATTAGTGGGGTTTGCACATTTATAATTAAGCTGGCATTACAGTTTAAAATCAGCAGCTGACTTACTTGGCCAGTTCTTCATCCCTAGGCTGAAAGTACTGGTTCTGTGGCTAGAACAGTGAAAAGACATCCAGATTTCAGCTGAAAGAAAAATACTTCATGTTAAGCAAGTACTGTTTTTATGTATGTGATTGAATGAGATGAAGAAAGTTTGCGGAGGCTAGTCCTGCAAGTCATGTTCCATCCTTTTGCCTTTCAGAAGTATCAGCAGTGCAATTCTAGGCAAATTAAATGATAGTAAAATGATAATACATTGTAAAATACTTACTTTTTAAACTTTAAAAGGATACCTGTTTTACTGTTTATTTCCTGTTTTGTCTATCACATTCCTTTCCACATTGTTTAGTTTATTAGAGAATAGATTGAATTAATATATCCCAAGCTTGTGTTAATTATTACCATAATTGGAAAATACCCTTTTGTCAAGCCTATTTTTCAGTTTCTTCTTTGGCACTCACCAAGAAAATAAATGTCCTGCTCCCACTGTGGATATATAGTATGTTTAAACTCTAAGGGTATGGATAGGTCGTACTCTTTGTGGTGTTTATCATACATACATTTTCCTGTAACACATTTGTTTGCAGGGGATGAGATCAGCCTTGGAGACCGACAGCTTACTGTCATGCACATGCCTGGTCATTCCAGAGGCAGTATTTGCTTACACGACAAAGAACGGAAGATTTTGTTCAGTGGGGATGTGGTGTATGATGGATCCATGATTGACTGGCTTCCCTACAGCAAAATCAGCGACTACGTTGCAAGCTGCCAGCGCCTCTTGGAGTTAGTGGACAGAGGTCTCGTGGAGAAGGTACTGCCTGGGCACTTCAACATCTTTGGGGCAGAAAGGCTGTATCGGTTAGCTTCCAACTACATTTCCCAAGCTGGGATCTGTCACAAGGTTTCTACTTGTGCCATGAAGTCCATTGCAAGCGTAGCACTTCACATTACAAATCCCAGAGTCACTTCGTAGTGTTTCTTAGTGTGTTTTGTGTGATCTGCTCGCTGTTGAAAAACCAAATGGCTTGTGAAAGCATTGATACAGGCAAAAGTAATATGCCTTAGTAAAAAGCTGGCAAATTGATACAGATGAGCTGCAGAAGTTCTCCTACTTTATTCCTACTTTTGTAAAACTTGTTTCAGCACAAGCTGCTGGTTTTCTGTCTATTTCAGGGCATGTTTGCACACATATTGGGATTGAAATATATTTATTTTTGTTACGATTCTGACAGGTGCACTTATGCCAAAACAAGAGGTTTCACATTTACACCTGATACCTTGTTGATGTAGCACTAGACTTGTAATAACCCACTCAACTCCTGCTCAGGTTTTGGAGTAACACAGCCTGTGCCAAGAGCTGGTGTGTGCTGGTGGGAGCAGGACATGCATGGGACTCGTTGGGCAGAAAGAGGTGAAGGACATCCTGCAGCCATTGTCACCTGCTTAGTGTGTGCTGCACCCCTGCATCTTTGCAGAGTAGCTGTCTGGCAGTGTCTTTAGAATCCACTAACATACAGACGTGCTGCAGACCAGACTTCCAAGTTGGAAGGTATATAGATACATCAGCTTACCCCAAAAGCTTCTGATGCAGATCTAGCATCAGATGGACTGTTGAGGCTATCCTGCCTCCCAGTGGGATGCAGGGAATGCCTGTGCCTTAATGGAGGAGCAGGAAGGAGTGCTCTTGCTGTTGCCTAGAGAACTGTTTGGTTATAGGTGTGCAAGTTAGGAATTGGAGAATTTGTAAGCTAATGCATTAATGTGTTAAACGAGCCTCTACAAAGTGGCTTGAACCCTTGCTTGATATGTTTGGGTTTTTTCTGATGAGCTCATTAAAAAATAAAATTACTTACAGAGTATGTTTTCCTGTAAATTTGAGCAAACTGGACTGTGATAAACTTTAAAGGCCTTATTTGCAAGTAAAAGTATTTTTATGTGACTGGATTGTAACTTATTTTTTAATGCTCTGTGGTAGGGGAATGAAGGAGGCTTTACCATTATCTTGCCCTACTGCAGGTGCTGGATTAAACCGCTCATACACTTGTTACCACAAAGTGAATGTAGCTTGAGCTGTTTACTGTTTGCTTATAAAGTGTTTGCTGCATATGTTTTATATTAAAAGTGCATTGCATTTGAGTCTGTTCCAAAAAAAAGTTACATACAGTGAGAAATGCTAAGTGACATTGTAAGTTGCGTATAAAAATTGAATGTGTGATACTTAAAAGCTGTTGAAATGGGTAAAGTTTGTGTAATTATTCTAACAGTATATTTAACTTTTCTAAAAGGACACTGTCTGATGTTATTTTTGTACACAGACATATATACTTTACTAAAAAGAGTGCATAAGTTTTTCCCAAATTTTAGCGCAGTTTAAACTTTGTTTGACTTTCTCTTTATGGGGAAGCTTCCTCCCCACCCCTCATTGTGCCCAGCAGAGATGGAGTCCAAAGACTAGGCTCCATCTGAGGCATGGGGAGTGGAATTTGAAGCTTTCTTAACTGCTGCAAATTCTGTTGGAAGACAGCAATTGCAAAATAAAAAGTATCTCTGTAAAAAATATGAAAGAAAATATCTTATATCTTGCTTTTCTCCTTTCACAGATCACAGCACTCCTGCCTTTACTGTTTGAGTATATTCTTCACCAGGATTTGTACTGATAGGTTGTGACTAGCTTTTGTTAGCAGTGCCTGTCTCCAAGGTGAAGCAGGCAGACCAGGTGCAGCAATGCAGTGCTTGAAAGACCTGCTGCCACTCATATCGTTGTGTCTTTTTGGAGAAACCCAAAAGTGTCAGTGTATTTCATGAGGGAGTGTTTAATCAGCAGGTAGACTTCTGTCATAAATTAAGCCAAGAGCTTTTTGTCTTGGCTTGTTTGGCCATAGGAAGATAACACAAAAACGTAACCTGGGAAGCAAAACAGCTGTTCACTGAAGAGGCCCAGAACAAATTCCACAGTGTGGTTTTCCTTTTTAGCCTGCTGATACATGCTGCTATTCACACTGCAGTCCAGGCACTGTTGAGGATACCCAAGGGTTCACAGTGGGCAATCGCAGATCTGAAGTGGCTGAAGTCAGAATAGCCAAAGAAACACACAGCACTGAAGCTTACACCAGTTATCCAGGTGAAGCTGTGGTGTCCCAGGTTACCCAATAATAATTGAATTCCTTCAAATTAGTCATCTGTGGCATAAAACCAGTACTAATCTTGCTCTGTCCTATCAGGAAGGCTGTAGGAGCACTGGTGCTAAGCCCTGTGCAGTAACACAGAGAGAGAGGCCTCTTCTGTCCCAAAGCCTGTCAGCTGCTAAAATTTTGGAAATGTTCATTAGGAGAGTGAGAGCATGTTAAACTAGCATTTTGTGTTATACAGCCATTGGTTTATTTTAACCAATATTGATAGCCTTGAAACCCTTTTGAGCTCCTAAGAGAAGGCTCGCAGGCATGCCAATTCAAAAGAGAAGATACCCTTCATCATTCCTTTAAATTTGTGCTCAGTATCAGGTACAAGATCCTCACATGTCAAAATGCCCTATTAAGGCATGCTTAAGTCCATTAAGTATATGTAGATAACAGCAATTGCCTGTGTTTTTTTTTTTTTTTACCTTGACCAAAATCTAGGAATGATTTCCCAGCTCAGAATTATGCTTTACATGAACATACCCCAAAATGGAGAGTAAACTGCTGTTATGATCCCACTGAAAGTAGTTTTTTAAGGTCCCAGAATTATTTTTGTGTTGTAAGAAAAACACTACTAGGTCAATGATATATCTTAAGTGTGAAGAACTGTGACCATTGTTAAGAATTAGCCAAGTTTTAGAGTTTGACAGTGGCCTTGTAACACTACTTGGATTGAATATTTAAAACATACATTGTAAGTTTAAATATTGCAACATCTTGGGTATTAGAACTCTGCTGATTTACTTGTAAAATCTAAATGTATGGGAAGTTTTGCTTCATAGTGTGTCAAGACTTATGTGATGTTAAACAACAGTTGACACATAAAAAATTTTATCTTAATTAATCATAATAAAAAGTTATAATCCTGTGCAGTTCAGTCATAATTTCTAGGTGTTTTTCAAGAGAAGCACATTTTGATTCTAAATGGAGTATAAAGTCTTTAAAAGTTGCTAGCAGTGTTCTGAACAGGAGGCTGCATTATAAATGTTTCTATATCATGGATGAATGCTGCATGGTGGTACTTCTTGGAAAAAAAAACAATCCACATTTTAACACAAATCAGAATTAGGTTTTCACCAGAATTTGTACACAGAAAAAATGGATGTGATGAAAATTTATATCTGGGGGTCAGTTTCAGTTTGTGGTGACATAGATTATTATTGCCACACAAGACAGTAGCGAATGACAGCTGTTTACTTGAAACAAAAATAGGTCACATAGCTTCTGTTTGGCACATAACTGGAGCTTTAAATAATCCTTAGCATACTTGATGACTAGTTTCTGGTAAAAGATAAAATTTCTTAGTAACTGATAAACCATAGAAGTTTGTGGAACTTAGTCCATGGATAACAAAAGCAGCTACTGTCATGAAAACCAGCGGAAATGTGCCTATATAATGGCAAGAATAAATGAAGAAGGTAATCATCTCTTCATCCAAAGATGAAGGTACGCTTCCTTCCAGACAACAGCTAACTAGACTTCAGGGATATCACATTTATGTGATGTGTTTGTTTTGTCCCAGGAGTTTCAGTGTTAATGTGTAGTCCTCGTGTCAATCTCTTTGCATGCCAGCACAAACACAATCTTACTTTCAAAACTAGTTTAACTTGTTAAATTTTGAATTTTATGTGGTGATGAGGATAGAATTTGAAGGCAGATACAGAAATAAGATGATTTTATGAAGAAAATAAAGCAATTAAAATAATTTCAAAAGTACTAGAGGATGTAGGAAAGCAGCTAGGATGACTAAGGCCTCCTTGGAATTAAAGTTAGCGAGAAGGGTCAAGGACAGCAGAAAGAGCTTTTTCAAATACATGGCAGATAAAACTAACAGCAGAGGCAATGTAGGCCTGGTGATGAACGGGCCAGGTGCCCTGGTGACAGAAGATACAGAGATGGCAGAGTTACTGAATGCCTTCTTTGTCTTTGTCTACTCTGCTGGAGGCAGTCCTGAAGAGCCCTGTACCTCTGAGACCTCAGATGAAGACACGTCAACGGAGCGGTTTGCCTTAGTTGCTGAGGAATGGGTTAGAGACCAGTTGAGCAATCTGGACATCCATAAACCCATGGGTCCAGATGGGATGCACCCACGGGTGCTGAGGGAACTGGCTGAGGTCATTGCTAGACTGTTCTCCATCATCTTTACCAAGTCTTGGGAAACGGGAGAGGTGCCTGAGGACTGGAGGAAAGCAAATGTCACTCCCATCTTCAAAAAGGGCAAGAAGGAGGACCCGGGTAACTATAGACCGGTCAGCCTCACCTCCATTCCTGGGAAAGTGATGGAACACCTTATCCTTGGTGCCATCTTAAGGCATATCAAGGATAAGAGGGTTATGAGGGGCAGTCAACATGGCTTCACCAAGGGGAAGTCATGCTTGACCAATCTCATAGCCTTTTATGAGGAAATAACACGGTGGATGGATGATGGCAGAGCGGTGGATGTGGTCTACCTTGACTTCAGCAAAGCGTTTGACACAGTCTCCCACAGCATCCTCGCAGCTAAATTGAGGAAGTGTGGTCTGGATGATCGGGTAGTGAGGTGGACTGTGAACTGGCTGAAGGAGAGAAGCCAGAGAGTTGTAGTCTATGGGGCGGAGTCTAGTTGGAGGCCTGTATCTAGTGGAGTGCCTCAAGGGTCGGTACTGGGACCAGTATTATTTAATATATTCATCAACGATTTAGATGAGGGAATTGAGTGTACTATCAGCAAGTTTGCTGATGACACTAAGCTGGGAGGGGTGGCCGACACGCCAGAAGGCTGTGCTGCCATCCAGAGGGACCTGGACAGGCTGGAGAGCTGGGCGGGGAATAACTTGATGAAATATAACAAGGGAAAGTGTAGAGTCCTGCATCTGGGCAGGAACAACCCCAGGTTCCAGTATAGGCTGGGGAACGACCTGTTAGAGAGCAGTGTAGGGGAGAGGGACCTGGGGGTCCACCCAAAGTACAATGATGACAAGGACTCCTAAGTTGCTGATACGAATCATTCCTATATACCTCACATCACCATCCTCACAGGGAAGATCTGCCTAAGTTCTCATCTCAGTCTCCCCTCTTGTCAGGTTAAAGCCATTCCCATTGTCCTGTCCCTACAGGCCCTTGTCCAAAGCCCCTCTTCAGCTTTCTTGTAGCCCCTTCAGGCACAATGACTCTATAAGGTATCCCCTGAGCCTCCTCCAAGCAGTTTGATGCAGATGTACACTGCAGTGGGTTTCCAACCATGCGGACGCGGGGAGTTCGTCCGCTACAGGCACAGTACATGGAGGGTGGAAAGGACCGAGCAGAGGCGGCACCCACGGAACCCTCAGGCCGGGCACTGAGCTCACTAGAGCTGCCGCTAGAGCCCGCTAGCCCCCTTCCTTCCGCCCGCGCCGCACGGCTCTCTGGGTAGCGGCACCTAGAGAAACACGCCCCCTCCTCCTTGAATGGCAATCCTTCAGCCAATAGGTAGGCGTTTCGCGCTCGAAGGCGGGACGATCTCGGCTAACGCCCAATCAGGCGGCGGTGGCATGGCGAAGAGGTCGCGGGTTGGCAGGCGGCGTCTCGTGTCGCGTTTCCAAGGGGGAGGCAGCGCGGTCAGTTCTATACCGTCCCATTCAGTCCCATCCCGTCCCGCTTTGCGTGGTGCGGTGCGTTGCAGTGCGGTGCGGTGCAGTGCAGCTCCGCCAGCTGCGTCCCGGCGGCACTGTGAGCTTGGCCTTGAGGTCGGTATGAGCCGTGCGGGGTTTCCCCTCGTCCCCTTCGGAACCTGGAGTGCGGCGGAGGACGGCCATCGCCGCTCTCCTGGGCCCTTAGGGCCTCGCCGTCCTCTCAGGGGACGCTATTACGGGGAGCGGGGTGAAGTGGGCAGTGGCTGGGGCCTGGTCACGGCAGTCTCCAGCCAGTAACCTGATCCTTTCCGAGGGGGTGTGGGGGTCAGACCCGGCATCTCCTTTTCTCCCAGGGAGGGCTTAGAGG